GCTATGGAGAAGGCTATGCTCAGGGTTCATCAGCGTGATAAACTTAGGAATGAGGATATCCGCAGTAGAACCAAAGTGACCGACATCGCTCAACGGATTAGTAAGCTGAAGTGGCAATGGGCCGATCATATAGCTAGAATAACCGATAACCGATGAAAAAAAGTTTCTCGAGTTCGTCGAGTGGCAGCCTTGTATCGGAAGGCGATATGTAGGACATCCCCCACTAGATGGAGTGACAATCTGGTAAGACATGCTGGAAGTTGATAGATGCAGATGGCTCAGGACCGTGCTTTGTGGCGTTCTTCGGGGGAAGCCTATGTTCAGCAGTGGACTTGTGAAGGGCTGTAATGAGGATGAATAATGATGGAACTATATTAATATGATACATAAATAGGATGGACGTTACGGGTAGAGACACAGGAGAGAGGCCTACCCGTAACGTCCATCCTATTCTTCTTATTTAGGTATAAGTAGGGATAGGGTATATAATTTTTATCGATATAATTTGTCACACTGTCTTATCTCTATTATTAGTTTTGTGGATGTTCACTTTTACTGTCAGTGCCAAAATAGCGCAAATCAATTATGTCATGGTTTATAGCCAGTCCATATATAGAGGTTAACAATATGTTGATTTTGACGGCAACTTGAGCCAACAGACAGTTGACGATAGTATCTCAAGGCGCCTAAGCAGACAGACATCTTATCTTGAGATTGACGTCACCATCGGAACACATGTTTCACCATTTCCACTAATAGTTCACAAGTGAAGACATTTAATACATACACCATTTAATACAAAAACACCACTTTTCCATATCAAAATCCACTTCAAACCATTATCTAAACAATAATACAGGAGCAGCAATCCACTGTCCTGTATTGTTCGAAATAAATTATATAATTTATCGTCGTAAGATTACAGAGCAATTTATTACACATATAAAAATGAAATGTTTGTTTGTAATATCAAAATAACTACCTTCTATCGACCTGAGAAGTTTTTGTCTGTTTACCTGTCTGTACGGGTTAATCTTTGAAATTTCTGAACCGATTGTAATAAAACTTTACGAACAGACAAAGAGCAATGCTAGGATTAATCTTCCCTGTACTTTATATTAAGAACTTGGAGTTCTTTTTTTTCGAAATACCTTTTATTCGAAATAACAATTAAATAACACTTATATAAATATAAAAAGCGGTCTAGGTGCGACCCGAAAGGTCAACACGACTTACTTTCCAGTGGAAAGAATAAAAAATATCATAATATGTTTTAATATTTTACACAATTTTTCATTCGGCACAAAAAACGACTTGATCGATTTTGTTCAAAATATAATAAGGTCTAAGTTACATATTTATGCGTTAAATGAAACTGGTCCCATGTATCCCAATATCACTCTTTGTTCTCAAGATACAAATTACTGGCTGCATTTGGCAGAAAAAAGTGACAAAACAACTTATAAACTCTACTTTAAAACAAACAAATTAAATAAGCAAAATGGCGGATTGTGTCAACGCTACTGAAGTTAGCAAACGTGTCCTGGCCGAAAACTGTTTAGTTTCGTCATTTTGCTTACAAGCGCTTGCTAGCGCTTTTTTCATTTTGTTTCGGACGCCAATTTACAATATTTATGATTTTAAACCATAATTTTAGTTTAGGTTCAGTTGGAACCTGATAATTAATAAACATTGGATAATTATCTGTTGTCTGCGACTTTAGTTATTAACAGATATGGGTAGGAAAGAACATCGATAAGTATTATAAATAAGCAACTCGACAACCCTATTGAATTTTATTGTTTTCTTTTATAGGATAGGGTGACAAACGAGCACACAGTCCACCTGATGGTAAGTGGTTGCTGCCATAGACATCTACATCTATCATCGATTACAAATGAAAATGCAGATAGGTTGTCACCCGTGAAGATGAAATGCCCCGTTTCCAGTAAAAAGGGTCCCCGGTTCTCTACACTCACCATACGAAACACAGCAGCATTAAGCTACTATTTTACGCTGGTAATCTGTGAGAGCGAGGTCCTTCCCCGATCGAGCCGACCCATTCGTGCTACAACTTTACTACTAATATCTACCACATATAAAATTTATCAAAACTTGGTTACCAGAGTTGGACCAATTAGTACTTTGGCCGATTGGTCGATTAGCAGATTAATCGGTTAAGAAATGGCTGATTAATTGGCCAATCGGCAAATCATTAGATGATTGGATATTCTTTATTTAATAACATTACAGGAAAAAATTAATTATTGTAATTTTAAGTACAGAAAAATAACAATTTAATTTAACTTTTAGTACAAAAACATAACACTTGTCTTTTAAAATTCTACATGCGTGTAGTTTAACAATCTTTATTCAAGAACTAGTGTTTTTTTTGTTATGCAAAGTTTTGTTAAGATTAGTAACAAATTTTTTAAGTACCTATATTATCAAATAGTTTTATTTGTTTATATATTAGCTGTAAATTCACTTACTTGTGAAATGTTATTCTATTTTCCTTTTGGTAACGAGTTTCACATATTACGCACACCCTTGTTATTACTAAAAATAATTCTTATTATTTAACCAAAATTGTTCACAATCAAACCACATAAAATACTTTTGTTTTTAGTTTATAAGTTCAAAATACAGAGATAAGATTTGATTATAAGACAACAGACTTTAGCATATTATGTCAATTTTAGTTCTCGGTACGACAAATGGTAGCGCTTCAAATCGACACAGACTATCTCTATGGTATAGCCAGCCTAATTAGCCTACTTAAAGCATTATTATCACATCATTATGTCTCGTCCGGACCGCGCTAGCGAGCGGTCTCGTCCGCCGGTCATCGACTCCCGCCCGGGTGGGAGAAGTACAGCGCGTCGCTTCGAAGTGGGTGCACGTGCTGTGGGGCCAACTGGGCTTGCGTGGAGCCATGAGGACGCCCCTGATCCCACCCGGGATATTGAATACCTAACGCTGCGTTTCACGTACACGCTCGGAAGCGAACTCCGAAGGCCCGGCGCGCTGCTGGGAGCACGCGCCTGTTGGTGACTTCGGCTCCGCGTCGAGATGCGTTTCCGCGGGACCTGGAGGTTGCTGACCCTTCGGCAGATCCCTTCCCAGAGGCGCGAGATACGCCAACTTCTGCCTAGGGATACCATGCCATCATCTAGAGCCAGGAAGGAGCACTGGAGGCCCGGAGCAGCTGCTGTCCGGAGCGCACTCCTGTCGGCAAGATTGGCCCTGCGTCGACTCCTTACCTCGGGACTCCGCGGGGCGTTGAGACGGCCGACCCTCCGGTAGCACCGACCTGGTGACGCGCATTACGCCATGAAGATTACCTACAATGTCGTACATGTACGGCTCCCAAGACCGGCCCAAAGATATGGGCTCTGAGGATTACCCGGGTAATGGGGAATTCCCCGAGGCCTGAATAGTAGTCCCATAGTAGATGACAATACGAGTTCACATCATTCTAGATCCAGAATGAAATGAAGACATGGGCTAAAAAACAAGCATCCAAACAAAAGATCTTATTAAAAAACTTACACAGAAATAATTATCTATGGTGTGGTGTACATTGCAGTGTTGCCATATATACAGATTTCTCCGTATTTATACAGATTTTCGTTGTGTAATACAGATTAATACTGGATAAAGATTTTTATACAGAGTTTTTAACTCTATTGATTGAATTATCATAATATGCAACTTAAAACAGAATGAACCAAAATATATGATTAGATACCGCGTTAAACACATCATTGCATGATTCTATTATTTATGGTTAATTTATTTTTTCACAAAGTAATTATTTAGTATGGGACTATTACAAGCGTATTATAAAATACATTGATATTGATAAAATATGTATACTGGATAATCTTTTTTACCGTTTGGAAAAAAATTGAATGTAACATGTGAACAGAGCCTATGGCACTGATATTTTACAAAAAAAAATTAATTAAATAAATAAATTAATGAATTCTATCGAAATCCAAATAATGTACCTCCTAGCCTGTGATCATGCGAAGTGACAAGGTCAAAGATGGCAACCAAGGGTATGTTCCGAAATACAACCCAGTACTCTGGCAAATGCAAATGACGTCATCAATTGACACTATATTGTACTGGCGTGCCGCCGCCATATTGCGTCGGATATCCGGCCACAGCGAAACAATTTTTAATTGTGTGTGCGCTGAATGAAGCATGCCAGAATTTGTTTTTGTTTATTCAAATACAAAAAGTTATAGAATACTTCCTTATATCTCCATTAGGAAGATATAATGATTTTTGGAGTAAAAATAAAAAAAAAACGGGTAAAACAAAACACCCCAAAAAAAAAAAGACACTCCCAACCCCCCCAAAAAAAAATCGTCATTTGCATTGGACAGTACACTGGGTTCTATTTTGGAACATACCCTAAATTTATTGTTTTATTGTCGTTGGTAAAGTAGAGTGGATATGATTAAACTTCGATAGATTTCAATTTATTTATTTATTTAATTCAAAATTTTTATTTTTATTTTTTGTAAAATATCAGTGCCATAGGCTTCTACTCAAGGTAATAAATACAGATTTTAAGTTTAAATAGCATACAGATTTAATACAGATTTTAGCTGTTTCTACTACAGATAAAAGGTTCAAGGCATCTGGCAACACTGGTACATTGTATAATTTCGTAGACTAATATATACTATATAGTGATCTGTGGTATAATTGTCAATGTCAAAAGAGTGTGTTGTTTCTTGCTTGTACAAATTTTACTATTTTTAATTAAAAAAGCTTTGAAATTGTGGAGTTTTCAATAATCATAACAGAATTATTGTCAAATCGCCACCTCATTTAGTATAATTAAACAAAAGCAATTTAATTCAGATGCAATGGCAACTATCAATATGACCAGATTATTTCAAAATATAATTAATAAAAAAAACCTTCCTTACTGTGCTCTGTGCTTACGAACGGAAAGAGAAGTGCATATGACGACTCCGTTGATGATCAGAAAAGTTCTAGCAGCATTGGACCAATCTGTAAGTTTATAAAACAACGTTATTTTAGAATATAAATATGGACTTACGTGTGACCTACTTTGATGAGATTAGTGAGCATTAGGGCAGCCCGTTGGACACTTCCATGCCATTATTTTTTAAAATTTACGGAGGGATGGCTGTGCCCAGCTGTGGGACAGGATTTGTTATAGTTGATTCCCTTTAATTATTGAAGGATGATTCTGGTCTCAAACTACCAAGTGCTAGCAATGTCTACAACCGTCATACCAAACCATGACATTAAGACCAAGTAATAACTTTGTTTGTCTTGTAAAAATGTTACCCCCTTTAGAATTTTCTCTTGTATTATGGAGACAGTTGTTTACATATTGCACAAGGACAAACTTTCAGACCATAAACAATTATTTGGGGTAAGGTATGAATGTAAGTCGCCGTCGAATTGGGTGGTGGAGAATGGTTGGGAGAAATTGTAGAGTTGATCCCCACTTCCCCCTACCGGATTTGCTTAGTCTTTTTTAAAAATTTTAAAAAATCTTATTTTGAGGTAATGTTTTCGACAATACAAACCTGATTTATGGGGTAAGAAGGAGGAAAGCCACACGCCACTCAACGTGGCGCAGTCGAGGAAAGCCCCACATGTTTTATACAATTTTATACACATATTGTATTGATTTAATTAATTCCTAGAAATCATCAGTTTTATGTTTCGTTTCACAAGCCGGCAAAAGACAGTAAACACTACACATTTTAATTTTAATAGCTCGTAATGAAAATAATTCTGTAATTTAAATACAAACTGTTAAATATATGTGTATGCATGAAAACTACTGAAATAGAATACAAAATATATTTACGTAAATTTATGTAAAATAAAATGTTACCAAACATATGAAACTTAACCGAATGTAAAACAAAACGTTCAATGGCGAGAATTCGATGTAATGTAGGGATATAACGTAGTGGTAGGGATAGACATAAATATTGCTAAAATAATTGATTTTCAATAATTTTTTTCTCAAAAAGTATGCGTTTCAACATGTTGAAATTTTGCGTGTGTGCTCACAATAATGTAACCTTTCTGTAAAAAAAATCATACAATCTGAGGTAGGGATTGACATAAATATTGCAAAAATAATGGATATCCAATAATTTTTTTCTCAAAAAGTATGTAATGTAACCTTTCTGTAAAAAAATATCATATAATCTGAGGTAGGGATTGACATAAGTATTGCAAAAATAATCGATTTTCAATAATTTTTTTCTCAAAAATATGCATTTCCACATGTTGAATCTTTGTGTGTGTGCTTATATTAATGTAACCTTTCTATAAAAAAATATCACATCAATGGAAAGCTTAGCTTTGTGGTATTATACTTCTGTTCCCCAAATTTTGACTCATTGATCTGCACAACTTTTCCTGGGCCTCCAATTTTTCCACTGTGCTCCGTTTTTTCCAAATAGTAAATAACTATGGATTCCTGGAAAATGCTGAACCAATCAACAATTGTGGTTCTGTCCAAACAGTGCCTTCTCTCTTCCTTGTGTAGATCCTCGTTCATCATCATTTTGTGGCTCCATTTGTGAGCACAATCATATATTAAATATAATATGTGCACCAACGGAATATGAATATGTTCAAAAAATGTTCCAGCTGTTGTGTGATATTTTTCCTTTTGGCTTACATTGGCCTTTTGTGCAAATCCAAGCACCAAATGATTGTTAGCCAATTTTGCCAATCAAATGGGTGTATGGTGTGTGTGGCTTATTTCTTGAGTCATTGCAGTCATTTCAGCAAAAGCAACACACTGTTTATGGGTCCCAAATATTTTGATAATTTTTAATAAATTCCACATTTTAACCACTTCCTCCGATTCTTAACATTTGTCAACAAACGACCTGTCATTCACGAAGAACTCGTGATCGGGAACTGCTGACTCAGTCGCAGTCTCAGCTCCACCCAACCTTGAGCTCGAAGACAGCCTGGGTTCAGAATCTTGGTCTGTTGCCGACATAGCCTGCTTATTGGTGTCCACTGAGTAAGCAAAAGTCATCCAAAGATGCAATCCAATCTGTGTCTAAAGGGTCCAAGTCTTCAATAAAATAGCAAGCAATTGGTGTCCAGAGGGGTAGAGAAGTTCTCAAAAAACAGGAGGAGACAGATAAAAATGTTAGGGAGCACATTCACGTAAACTCGGAAGTAACGGAATAACGTAAAGTGTATCTGTCACTTACAACAAAATGGCTAGCCTAGTGATTCATTTTACGCATTTTGAGATGACTTTGACAGATGCAATGTTAGAATTTAATTAAATGTACGTTCTGTTTCACATTTAGTTAGTGGTTTACAAATATTTATAAAATAATTAAAAATACTTCAACGATGCTCTGGCAGCAACAATCGCATGGGGGTCCTTCTGATAAATCTCCTTGACCCATCCACAGTCACAAAATCCTCAAATTCAGATGACTTACTTTCAAACCCAACCCAGACACTGCACTATGGAGGCGTCAAACTTTAATTTAAGTTTAAAAATATTTCAGGACTTTCAAATTGATGACATTTGTAAATGGTGCGAAGCGCGTGCGGGTACTGTCGTCCGGTTTTTAGATATGGTGGATTTGGCTCTGGAAGTGCAGGGAGTTTTAAAGAAGGCGCAGAAAACGACCTCAAAAATGGCTGTAAGTTTTTTTTCTGTAATGAAAAAAAAGTAAGAAAGAAACATTCATTTCATCAAAACACAACATTAAGAATAAGAAACGTAGATCCCTGGAATAAGAAGAGTAGAGCACTGGTTTTTAGTTGTTACGTTAATTGACTCATGAACAACCAAACATTGATGTGTAAATAACTTAAGTGCACTTAAATTACTACAACTGACCCTCGGTAATCCGACAAACATTCTGCAAGTTGGTGTCAACTGGACGGATTATCAACCCGGTAGACCTGTATACCGACATCGGTAGACCCGACCTTTTTGAAAAAGAGTACCTTATAATCCGACAGATTACATATCAAATATAAGATAGTAAAAATTAAAAATGTCATGTGATGATGATGTGATGCGAATGAATACCTAAACACTAAATAATGAATGCCTGCTAGGCTGCTGCCATAGTTACATTTGAACTAATAAGATATGCGTCAAGTTAGATTCGTAGTGGCACAAACTAATTGCAACCTGTTTGTCCACGTATTCACGAAGGACACCTCCCGCCCCTGGTGGATTCATGGCGCAAATCAAATCTACCTACAAGTTAGAGACATGTCGAATTGCAAGGCGGGACGGATTAGTCAGGGCCAGATTACCGGTGCTCCACTGTACCAAGTATCTAATACATATTCTGTAATCTTTATTTATAAAGTAATAAAATAAGGTAATTACATATAAGAACTGTATTAACCTAAACATAAAAACATGGACCCTTTTAATTTATAAAAAGTGTTGGGCACATTGTGATGCAGGGGTTGAAAGCCAGTTTCCAATTTATTCCGGTTCCTTGACTAGCTGACTGCAACACTAATATATAACATAAGTAAAAGAAAACTGATTGTGTAAAAAGTTTAGTTAAGTTTAGTAAGAGCAAATATATAATTTAATAAAAAAAGTTTTATACCCTACTAGCTGTTCCCTGCGACTTCGTCCGCGAGAAATTTATTGTGATTACTTTTCTAAAGTAAAAGTGACCTAAGTTACTCCTTATAGTGTTAGCTATCTGCCGGTGAAAGTGACATCAAAATCGCTCCAATACTTTCGGAGATAAGCTGGAACAAATAGACACACAGACAAAACTTTTAAAATTGTTTTTTTTTATCAGTACCGTATGTACTTAGTATTTACTTACTATACTCATCATATACTTTCATATGCATTTAGTAAAAAGCTGTTATTTTGACATTACAAAGTACAAACAAACACTTTAATTTTATAGTATAGATGTCACTTCCCCACTATATTGAATTTAACTGACGGATCCGTGACACTCCATGGTGGCTTAACAATGAGGTACGGTGCCCAATCCCGCACGAGACAAGTATTTGTATGGTCTACAAAAATTTAATCCAAATTGGATGTTTTCCCATGTGAAATTTATGCATGTAAACTGCCTCCATGATACAGGAGAGACATGTTCCAGTTAAGGAGTTTGCCGCAACATAATGTATTCATTTAACACATTATGCATAACCATATTATAAACCTCATGTAGTCAGTATCTCTTCTTGCAATTGAACTTATATTTTTAATAGAATTAAGGGTGATAAACAAACTCAGTTCACCCGATGGTAAGTGGATGCTGTGGCCCATAGACATCTACATTTATTATTGATTACAAATCAAAATACAGATGCGTTATCAGTATTTTGGACCCACCCACAAATTCACCCTTGAGGACTAAGATGGAATGCCGCGTTTCCAGTAAAAAGGGCCGCCGCTTCTCTAAACACACCATATGAAACACAACACCAATTAAGCCGCTATTTTACTCTTGTATTCAGTGAGAGCGTGGTCCCACCCCCGTCAAGCCGACCAATTCGTGCTACAGCCATAATATAGCTGCAGCATGACTCTACCACATTGAAAATCTTTGGCATAATGAGCACTAATCCCACCGACAAACTGTTGCGCAGTATACAGTACCACTACCGTTGTAGCTTATCAAAACTCCACTGCTCAACATAGGCCTCCCCATAGTTTGCCTCATAAAGGGAATTTTGCGTCTGTTTGATTTCATAATTTCACCTCTCAGTGGGTCATATGCTCCTGGTAGATTATCTTCTATACATCCATCCATACAGCCTATAAAGTTCACTGCTGAACATAAGCCTCCTCCATAGACTGCCTCATAGAGGAGATATTTGCCATGGTTGTTATGTTACTGTTGATTTAATAATTTCATTTCTCAGTGGGTCATGTGCTCCTGGTAGATTATCACCTTTTATACATCCATCCATTGAGCCTATCAAATTCACTGTGGATCCATATTCCTCCGCCATAGATTGCCACTACATAAGGGGGTATTTGCCAAAGTTGTCACACATAGTTGGTATCCCCAGTATCCATTGAGCCTATTAAAAGTCCACTGCTGAACATGGGCCTTCCCATAGACTGCCTCATAGAGGAAATATTTACCATAGTTGTAATGTTACTGTTGGTTTAACAATTTCACCTTTCAGTGGGTCATGTGCCTCTCACAGTGTATACCACCTCTCGTGGATCTCCTGTAGATATCTTCACATATGTAAGTTACTGTTGGTTTAACAATTTCACCTTTCAGTGGGTCATGTGCTCCTGGTAGATTATCTTCTACATAGTTGTAATTTTACTGTTGGTTTAATAATTTCACCTCTCAGTGGGTCATGTGCTCCTGGTTGATTATCTTCTATACATCCATCCATTGAGCCTATCAAATTCACTGTGGATCATATTCCTCCGCCATAGATTGCCACTACATAAGGGGGATATTTGCCAAAGTTGTCACACATAGTTGGTATCCCCAGTTTTTTATTTTCTACTAGTTTGAACCTATATGGAACCTATAACCTCTAACGACACCTATATTTTTTTAAAAGAATATTAACAATGCTATAAACATTACTAATATTCTCTTTAACCACTCGTGGTAAGCTTAAATTGCTTGTGTTACAAGTGGTTCACGCCAGTAGTCGAATGGTGGGTTCGAACCTACAACCTCTTTTGAGTTCGCAGTCCGAACCCTACCATTAGGCTACTATCGTTTAAAATGTGAAACAGTGGATATTCGTACACCACCACTACACGGTGAATTCATGTTATGATGATTGATTTCAGAAAAGACGTCTACTGCAAAGACTTCAATGCTACCAGAGCAAGTGTATGGAAATGAGAAAGGCGACGCAGCTGAGTAACACTGAAGTGCTCGTTATAGATGCCCTAGATGTGAGTCTACAAATTGTTTTTAGTCAATTTAAAAAAGGGAGGAGGCTTACAATTTTTTTTATAGAACGAGGGGACGGGCAAACGAACACACAGTCCACCTAATGGTAAGTGGAAGATGTGGCACATAGACATCTACATTTATCCTCGATTAAAAATAAAATGTAGATGCATTGTCAAGGACTAAGATGGAATGCCCCGTTACCAGTAAAAACGGTCTCCGGATATTTACACTCACCTTATGGGTACGCAGACGATAGCACAGTTGTGGAGAGATACCAACCAAGTGCCAGTCGGGATCAAATGTAGTCCGAAGGAGAGGCTATGGTTAAGCATGTGAATCTCACACTACAGGCAGTCTCCAAATGTGGCGATGCCAATCAGATTTAAGTTTGTCTGATTTATGCGCGATATTTAAGAAAGAAAAATATTATAATACTTGTGTTAAAAATGTACTTTTGTTTTTTTATTTTAATTTTTATAGCCAATAACGTTTTGATTTAATAAAATACAATTTCGTAACAATTTCTTTTAAATACCTAACGTTCGGAAAGTAATACAAATAAAAGTCATTGTTGGTTATATAATCAAAGTCAGAAATTTCTTATACAAAATAATTTATGCATATGAGATACGAAAGTGTCATAGAAAATAGGAGTTCAGTTCAATTCAGTCAGTTTTTCATATTCGGAAACAAGATTTATAAAAAAAAATCTGCACCCTAGTAAAAATATATTATTAGTAATTAAACGAAAAACTCACATCACGTCATAGCATTGTCAGCTGCTATTTTACGCTGGTATTCTGTAAGAGCGTGGTCCTACCCCACTCGAGCCGACCCATTCGTGCTACAACCATAATATAGCTGTAGCTGCTCATATAAATTTTCTTTTTTTTTTGTATGTATATTACGTGATATCTTCCTCAATTGTTAACCAATTTTAATGATTATTGTATTTAAATAAAGTGTATTTCAGAGGTGACTGCTTTGTAGGTCTAGTGGTAGTAAACACGACTGCTGATTGAGGTCCTGGGTTCGGACACTGTTCAGGTCAAAAGTCAGTTATTGAGTCAGGAAGACTCAATAACTGACTCTCTACTACCACCTACTCTGAGAATGAAGAATGAGAATTTCTCTCAGTAACACCCCGTGATTCGAAAAGCACGTAAAGCCGTTGGTCCTGCGCCTGATCTCTCTCCTGTTGTATCGTTTTACCGTCCCATCGGATTATAAGAGTGAGGCAATAGAGAGTGCACCTGTGCTTGCGCATACACTTGGCCACTATAATCCTGTCCTGCGCCCATGGCTAGTCTAAGTTGAGACTGGCCGCTTTGATCAGTATAATTCTTTCGTTAAAAGTTTTAAGAAAAAATTCCACCCCTAATGATAGCAAAATAGGGGATGTAGTTTTATGTAACTATTTTAGATGATCAGTATCGTCGATTGTGAAATTTTTTAGTCCACTCAAAAAGGTAAACAAGTGGTGAAATAAAAAATTTTGTACAATCAAATCAACTTCAATATAAATAAAATGAGGACATCATCATTGTTATTGAAGTCATTTAAATAAGCATTACTAAGGATAACTCAAAAACTACTGGTCAAATCATCATCATCATCATCATCATTGCGGCCCTTTACAATTCCACTGCTGAGCATAGGCCTTCCCCAAGGTATGCAACAAAGCACGGTCCTGAGCCACCTGCATCAATCGACTTCCTGCATGTCTTACCAGGTCGTCACTCCTTCTAGTGGGGGGTCGCTCTACACTACGCCTACCGGTACGAGGCTACCACTCGAGAACCTTTTTACCCCATCGGTTATCGGTTCTTCGAGCTATTTGGCCGGCCCACTGCCATTTCAGATGACTAATCCGTTGGGCTATGTCGGTCACTCTGGTTCTACTGCGGATATCCTCATTTCTGAGTTTATCACGCAGAGAAACCCCGAGCATAGCCCTCTCTGAGCGACGTTGAGCGTCCTCATACGGCCAGCAGTGAAGGACTACGTCTCCGTTCCATAGGTCATCACTGGCAACACACACTGGTTGTACGATCTAGTTTTCAGAGTTTGAGGTATACCTGCCCAGCCGAGTTGAATCCGTCGATTGAGCTCCCGGTCGAAGTTGGACTGATATGGATAGGCCATTGGGAGACACCATTAAGGTCATTGAGCATTGTGCTTAGGTCTTCTAGCGATTCTGCCATAAGGACTATATCGTCGGCAAATCGAAGGTGAGTGATGTACTCGCCATTGATGTTAATACCGTTCCCTTTCCCGTCCAGTAGCTTGAAAACGTCTTCCAATGCAGCGGTGAAGATTTTCGGGATATAACGTCACCCTGTCTTACACCTCTCTGCAGTTGGATAGGTTTCGTACTTTGGTTCTGTACTCGGATAGCCATCGTAGCCCTACTGTACAAACACCTCAGCACTTCGACAGTCAACTTGGCATCGCTGAAGGGACTGTAGCACCGCCCAAATTTCGAGGGAATCAAAGGCTTTTCATAGTCCACATACGCCAGGCAAAGTGTCAAATTGTACTCTTCGGTCTTCTATACAATCTGCCGCAGGGTATGTATGTGGTCTATGGTACTGAAGCCTTTTCGGAAACCGGCTTGTTCGGGAGGCTGGAAGTGTCGAGTCTGCGTGCGAGACGATTCGTAATGACTCGAAAACAGCACGTAGACGCGGCTCAGAAGGAAAATCGGTGTGTAGTTTTTCAAGAGAGCGTTGTCGCCTTTCTTAAAGAACAAGACCACCGCACTTCTGCTCCACGCCTCCGGAGTAGTGCCACCATGGAGGACGGAATTGAAGAGCTTCTGAAGGACTTTAAGTACCGGTGTTCTACCCGTGTATCATCGGAATAGTGTCGGATAAGACTTGCTCTTGGATCGTTACTCACACTTGCGTGTGGCTCCAACGATGATGTGTACAGCTGTTCGTAGAACCTCTCAATTTCACTCAAAATATCAGGTGTCCCGGAAACAATGCTGCTACGCTCAGTCTTCAGCTTTGACAGTTGGTTCTTTCTGGAAGACAGATCTTTGGCAAAGACTTTGGGGCCCAGTTCGGTTCGATCGCTTCTTCAATACGAGCAGTTGCGTAAGTCCCGCCGCATGCATTTGGAGATCTATCTGTTCAGTTGCCTCTATGCTGTCAAATCTGTTGACGATTGCAGCCTCATCTGTCGTCTAATAGCCATGAGATTAAGAGTGTGATCGAAGAGTTTTTGTGTTCTTCTGCGGTGGGTCTTGCAGAACTTAGCTCTGACCGCATGGACAGTTTCGACGAGCTTGTCATTTATATCGTTTTTGCAAATCGGTTTTGTAACTCGAGCTGAAAGGTTTCGGAATTCTGGATTAGAGAACGAGGGGGACGGAGCGTTGACTTCATTAGACGAGACCTCTCCAACTTATCGTTTAGGTTCAGTGTGCCGCTCACCATTCGGTGATCGCTGCCAGTTTTCACCCTTGCGATCACTGAGACATCACTGAACAGTTGGCGTCTAGCCGTCATGATGAATGAGTTCATCATAAAGAGTCCCTCTTCCTCCGTGAAGTCGGTCAGCTGCTGGCCCCTTGAGTTCCGTTGCAATATCCCAAATGTCCCTACCTTCAGCTCACCGTTTTTTTTTGTGCCTAGTTTTGCGTTGAAGTCTCCCATTAACACCGTATAGTGTGTTTTGGAGGAATTCATGGCTCTAGAAATATCCTTATACATTTCCTCCACCTCCTCATACATTTCCTTCACCTCCTCATCGGGATGTTCCGACGTTGGTGCGTAAACCTGTATGACCTTCAGCGAATACCGTTTGATGATTCTGAGTATCAGGTACGTGTCCCTTGTCGATACACTCTCAATTTTTACAACTTTGTTAAAGAGAGACTTATGGAAGATAAATCCAACACCTCCTTGGGACAGATGGTCGCCCTTCCGGTGATAAAACAAATTGCCGGATTCGAGAATCACAGTGTTCTCCCCCTCTCTTCGGGCCTCGGATAATCCTATAATTTTTCAGCGCAGACTGTTTATCTTTTCTTCCAGCTCCAGGATCTTCTCGTCAGTCCTCAGGGTGCGTGCGTTATATGTTGCCAGGTCGAGTCGTCGTAGGTGGCATCGGAACCTCCACCGGAGATTCTTAGCACCCCCTGCCCCGCCGTTACCATGTTCGCCACCGTAGCCAGGAATAGCGGGGCCGCCGGGGACTGGGGGCCGTTTTTTTTCCGAACAGTTGCTGCTATCAGGAAGATGCTGCAATGATGCTGTCAGTCTCCTGCCTGTTTCCCTCTGGCGCCTTTGACGACACCCACGGGAAGATATGGGGTAGTGGATATTCTTAACCGCCACTACACGGCGAACTGGTCATATAGGATGTCCCAAAACTCGACGTCAACCCAAAACCCAAAAACGAAAAGGCAAGTCATGCGGGTTGTCAGAGAAATTAAAAAAATCTAAGTTGCATGTTTTTAATATTATAGGAATTTAAAAAAAAAACGGAATAATTTCACATCCTGTGATAGTCTTTTCACTCTTGTTGCCACAAATCTTTATTTTTTCCAACAGTTTTTTTTTGTTATGAAACCCTGAATAATGCTTCTCTAAACTGGTGTCAAAATTTCAAAACTAGTTGCTGTAGATTGCATAAAAATAGGACTTATTACCTAAAAAAAAATTCAAAATTCAAAGTGCTAGATGTGACTGTATTGAAAAAAAAAAATACGTGTGGCACTCGGTGACTGCGGCGGTAAAGCTATTGCATAGCATTTTTTATCAACTTATGCAATTATATTTTTTTACTTATGCAGTTAAGTGTTTGATATTAAATCAAGTTATACTTTTTGAGCGTGGTGACCGATAAGAAAACAATTTTTTTTCTCTTATTGAATAAATGAGAAGTTAATATTGTTTAAAATATTTTTAATATCTTACAATACATGTAGGTTATTCAGGAATTTTTATCATTGCGTTAGCAGCTAGTGTACACGCACACAAACACCGTG